GGGCAAGTTTCAGAGTCTCTTCTGACATATATTTTGGTCTTCTTTTCTCATCTTTTTAATGACTCTTGCTTTCTTCATGGATGATGTGCTTGATGTCATCCCACAATTCCTCTGGTTTTCAGTCACTGGTGTTCAATACATCGAATCTATTCTTCAGATGGTCTCTAAATTCAAGAGGGATATATTCAAGGTCACATTTTGGCTCTCGTGGACTTGTTTTAATTGTCTTCAACTTCAAGTTGAACTTGCATATTAGCAGTTGATGGTCTGTTCCACCATCAGCTCCTGGCCTTGTTTTGGCTGAAAATACTGAGTTTTTCCATCGCCTATTGCCATGGATGTAGTCAATCTGATTCCTGTGTACTCCATCTGGTGAAGTTCATGTGCATAGCCACCATTTGTGTCATTGAAAAAAAGGTATTTGCAATGAATAAATCGTTGGTCTTGCAAAATTCTACCATGTCATCTCCAATGTTATTTCTGTCACCAAGGCCAAATTTCCCAACTACTGGTGATTCTTCTTTGTTTCTAACTTTTGCATTCCACTCACCAGTGATAATTAACACATCTTGATTACACATTTGGTCAATTTCAGACTGCAGAAGTTGATAAAAAAATCTTCAATTTCCTCATCTTTAGCTTTAAAGATATCATAGAGATACCACCTTGGAAACCCAAGGAGGGGTCGTTGAGGCTGAAAAGGACTCAATGGCAGTTGAGTTAGGTCTAGCTTTTTCAAACTGCACCACGCCATCATCTCCAACTACAACTACTCCTCCTCAGTACTCTCCTTCCTACCTTAGGGTTCTGTATTTCACTGAAATGTCTCCTAGAACTCATGAACTGCCAAGGAAATGGCTCATGTGGTTGTGGAGACTGGAAGCCCCAAATCCATGGGTCAGGCATTGGTCTGGAGGATTCTCATTACTCACGTGGTTGCAAGGGCTGACGAACCCAAATCAGCAGGCCAGACAACTTGCTGCTGTCTCAAGCCACAACGAATCAGGGATGAGATGATGACAAACAAGATGCAGGGTCCAAAACAAGAGAGTGAACTTTGCCAAAGAGTTCATATATAATCCCTCAAGGAAACTAAGGCTGGTGACTTGAGTCACAGCCTCTAGTAAGGCAGGACTCAAGATACATCCCCCTCTAATCCTGCCTCATTAATATAATGGAGCAAACCAAAAAGCCAAACTCACTGCCATCCAGTCAATTTGGACTCACAGAAACCCTCATTGGGTTTCTAAGGTGGTAAATCTGTACAGAAGTAGATTGCCCCATCTTCCTGACATGAACAGGCTATTGGTTTTGAACCACCAACCTTATGGTTAGCAGTCAAATGCCTTAGGCATTATGCCACCAGAGCTCCTTACATAATGGACAACCCACTCCAAGACAGGACTATAACCTTATAGGTATAGAGTCTAGGACTTGCAATACATCACAAAATGGAGAACTATAGCTAGAAAGAACCTATTAAGTAATTCACTGCCATCAAGGAGATTCTAATTGCAACTCCATGGGCAGAGCAGAACTGCTCCAGAAAGCATTCTTGGCTGTAATCTTTAGAGAAGCTGGCCACCATTTCCTTCTTCCACAGTCAGTGTGGATTTGAACCATCCACCTCACTGCTAGCAGATGAGTTCTTAACCATTTGAGCCATCAAATTTCCTTTAATAAAGTCTACAACATTTTAAAAATAACCATTTCTTTAGGCTTTTTGGACTATTTTCCCTAATGTCCCTAAACATGATCAGACAAAACAATGTAGTCCACAGACGTAGCTTGTTGATGGTAAGGCAAAAATCCAAGACAAAATTTTGTCTATCTGGTGGAATGGTACCATTTATGAAAAATTTCACAAAAATTTGTCTCAGCTAAATTACTTGGCCAAGATTTGGCCAATATCCAGCTTTAGTAAGTCCAAACCCCAAACCCACTGCCATCAGGTCAATTTTGACTAATATTGACCCTATAGGACAGAGCCGAACTGTCCCATAGGGTTTCCAAGGTTATAAATCTTTATGGAAGCAGACTGCCTTATCTTTCTCTTTATAGAATGCCTGGTGGGCTCAAACTGCTGACCTTTTGGTTATCAGCTGAATACTTTTAACCATTGCATCACCAGAGCTCCTTTAGTAAGTCCAAGTTTATATTAAAGTATCTCATTTGTCTCTCTACAAAGAAAACAAAGTGGGATAAAAAAAGTAAAAGATACTGAGTTCTTATATCTAAAAATTCATTATATAAAGAGTGATTAAAAAAAAAAAAGAAAAAGAGTTAGCAACTCTTCACATGTCCCTAAAATGGAAAGTCTATTCCTTTACTCATGCAAGATTAAAAAAAAGTCTTCTAAAGCAAGTATATACTAAAGTTGAATTTTTCCAGTTATATTACATTTTTATGGAAGGAAGAAAGTAAATATAAGCTGTTGTTGAAAAACAGTAACCAGTTTCAGTTAAGGGTGCAAAAGTATCTTTAGACTTTTGAAAAGAAAAAGATAACAGAAATGGTATAAAATAACTTTTATTTACATAATTTATAGATATAGAACATAACTGCTTTCTTTGGAACAATAAAATTTACAAATGACAGATATTGCTTTATTGTCAAAGATTTTTTTCAAGCACGATACTATACGTGGTCACTTCTATTTAAAATAACACCGTGGTAAACAGCGGATATTAATATTCTTATCTGTGCCTCAACCATTTACCAACAATTAGGCTTTTAAACCGCTATGCTGATCACCTGCTAAGAAGCTAAGAGTCCAGGAGGAAAAGTCAAGAAAAGATAAAGATCTTTAATCATATCTCCTTTAAGATTTACAAAATACAAATTCTCTGCAACATCTTTATATTAATCTGATTTAACCAAGGTGTGAACAGTCTTTCCACCTTGTAAAGTAAATACACTGATTAAGTTTCTCTTTTTGCAAGATTAGTTTTAAGGATATAACAGTAGGATAATTTAGCTTGTTGACTTGATTCTCTGACACAAAGATAAAATTATTCATTATACAGTAAGAAATGACACTGTCCACAATATGTATTATAGCTGAACAAGTGACAGATATTAACAAAGTTAAAAAATAAATATTACACAAAGGATAAAATAATAGTTTAATTGTGGCAATCTAACATTCAAACTGACACTAATAAAGAGAAATCAACTTTCCCAGAATGAGATTTTTTAATTATAAAACAGAGTATTTTTTTTAGCAATGTGACTTACTATCACAATTTTGGGGGATATATTAATCGCATGAAATAAATAAATGAATACCTATAGAGAATTTCCACTCAGATTTATAGATCCATTTTTGGGACCAAAATGTTAAACTGTAAATTTCACTATAAGACAATGAATAAGAAATGCTCTAAATGTAATAATTTTAATAAATTAGCATTACTGTTATAAGTTGCTGAGCCATATCCTACTTTCCTAATGAACTTGAATATTGGCCACTTTTTAATATACAAACACAATTATCTGGACTTTAAAATATCTTTTCAAATGAAATACTAATCATTTCAAAATACAATCAATACAATGACTTCAATGATAACTCATAGACTTCAGCACCATAAATTAAGATAATTACTGTCTAATGCTGATGTCGGCAAACTTGGGGTCAAATCCAGGCATGGCCATTTGTTTAAGAACTGTCTATTGCAGCTTTTACATTACAATGGCAAGGCTGAGTAATTGCCACAGTTACCACATGGCCCAGAAACCAAAAATATTTTGCAGACAGTTTCCAACTGATGTAATGGATTATGAACCCAGAAGTTTTTCAAATAAAATGAGAAAAAAGAACACCCATTTAGAACTTTACTTTGAACCACTAAAAATTTGCTGGGGAAGATACTAGAGTTACATCTCAAATCTTTAAATTAAAAATAACCAGTAAATTCATATCGATAATAATCACCAATTTTAGCAAGACCTGTTATTTTGTTTTCAACATCACAAATAAGTTCTGTGCTTAAAGACCTAAGAATTCTCTGTGCAGAATTTAATGTGGAAAATTATCAAGAAATTAGTTTTTTCAAAGATGGAATATATGTGTATAAGAAAGAATTTTGTATGGGAATTTGTCTCATACAGGAAGTTAAGGTTCTACTTCCCCCCATGCAAATCCTGAGATTACCCACAAAACAGAAAAAACAAAAAATTCACAAAGTCTATATACTAAACTATGAGCAAAAAGTGTTCAAAACACATACACTATGATACACTTATAGTTACATCACTTAAAATATCCTTAAATTTAAAGATGGAAAGGAGACAAACATAAATTTGTTAATGCCTTTTTACCAACAATCTGAGAGATGAAAATAATTAAAACTGGATATCTTTTTAAATAAAAAAAATTTAAAAATAAATAAGCTCTTTGATGTTTCCTCTGTATAAATAATAAGTTTAAATACTAGTTCTTCAATTAGGACAAATGTTACATCAATGTGAATTATAAAAATACATATTTTTCAGTCAGTCAAATAGTTGATAATAGAAAAATTTTTAGCATTTACCATACTAAAGTGGAGTTTCACAATTTACTTTCATATACTTAGAGGCAACTGAAAAGGCCTTCATCATTAAAAAAAAAATTCTTTACAAAAAGAAGTTTGGTAAATGTTAAATACAATCAACCTCCAAATACATCAGTACTGTGATTTATACAAAGAGACATTTATCCACAACATCCTAAAATGTCCATGTGTGCTCAGCACAGAACAAGTCAAAATGTAAACAAGAAGTATGATTTGTCTGAGAAGCAGTCTTAAATGCTTGGCATTTCTAAAATGCAGAATTAATCAGAATGAAAGAAATGAATCAATCAGCAATGTTTCCCACTGATTATAAAAGCTTCAAAACCAAGCTCATTAAATTCAAAATCAACCTGTATAAAAATAGATAGCGATGTTCCTTTCTAAATACTGCTGGGTTGATGGGATTAACTCTGGAATTCCAGGCTTGAAAAAAAAGCTGTTTTATTCTGTTTCATCCACTTCAATAAATATATCATTAAAGAAATATTCAGAGATGGTGGTTAGCTCCTCTTCAGATGTCTGGTTTTGGCTACTTTTGCATTCTTCTTTCAGTAAGGGCAGATCACAAGGAACCTAAAAAGGTAATAAAAATAAGTCTGCAATATAACACTGATGCACTGCTATTGATAATCTAAAATGGCATAAATTATCTGAAAAGCAATATAACAAATACTAAGAACTTTAAAAATGTTCATACTAGAGTTCTGGTAAGATGGCAAAATAGGCAGAAAGACTGCACAGACCCTCTTCAACAAAGAAAAGGGTAACCAATGAACACAGATACAGAAGATAATCCTGGACCCCTGAGCTTTGAAGGGAAGGATACAGAAGGGGCCTAAACTCCAACTAGCAGAAGAATTTGCATTAAATACCAAAAAAGGAGACATACAGAACTGCAGTCTGGCAGTGATCCTGACAGCACAGATGGCTTGGATATTGCCGAATAGTGGTAGGACTTAGTAGTGGTAGGACCTAAGGATTAACCTAAAATTCCGGCCCTGATAGCCAGGGGACTACATGGAGGACTGCACTGGTGACTGGGGAATAAAAAGGGGAAGCAGCAAAAAGAAAGGCAGGCTGAGCTGTGGACTTCTGTCTGTCCGCAGGGCACAGTCATTTTGAATGTTTACAAGCAGCTTGACCATTTTGGCTATTTAAAGCGACAGCATTCTCCCAGATTCCAGGGACTTAAGAACAGGCTCTGTTCTTAACAGGCTCTGTTCCAGACATCCCGGAAACAAGGACTACTGGAAAGGTGTGACATTCCCCTTCTTACTCTTATATCTCACACCCTCTCTTGGTGAATGGAGGTGCGGCCATCCCTCATTCCCACCTTCCTTCTAGGCTGGCAGGAATTCCATCCCACTCTTTGTGCTTCAACGGAGTCTAGGTGCCCTGTCCCAACCTATCCAGATTTTTTTTTTCCTTTTTCCTTTTTTTTTTGTTAGTTTTAGTCTCTATTAAAACTACTACCATTATTATTACTTTTGTCCTTTTCATTATCATTTTTTATTCTTTCCTTCCCAGGTTCTAGTTTTCAGCTTTCTTTCTTTTCTGTGTCCCTGGTTCCATTTGTTTTTCTTTTCTTTTTCTTTTTTGTAGGTAATCCCATTCATTTTTCTTTTTGTGTTTTTCCCATTTTTTTCTTCATTCTTCCCCTTCCCTACTTTTTTCTCTTATAACCCTCTCCCCAGATATTGTGCTGTCTTTTTCCCCCTTTTCTCTTTTGTGGTTACTGTTCCTGTGTAATTACACGCTGTTTTTTGTCCATTTGCATTTATTATTTGATGGTTGGTTATTCAATTGTTATTTTTGTCTAACTGAGTGGGAGACAGCAAAAGTCCCCATACAACACTAATACACCCACATCTCCTGTAGCTTCACTTACTGAGTGAGAGTCACCACCTCCTTCTCCACCAACAGGCCTACGATAAACAACCACCAAGAATAGCCTGACTCACCCATAGCTGCTCTTCACAAACAATTAACAGAGATCTAAATACAACAATGTCACAATGTCTCAGAGACAACAGACCATCACAGTCCACATGAAGAAGTAAGATAAAGTGGTAGAAACAAGGAATCAGGATACAGACCCAGAACACATCCCTGAGGAAGAAACAGCATTGGAACTCCCTGATAAGGCATTAAAAAGAATTATATTTAGATTTCTTCAAAGGATTGAGAGACAGATCAAGGAAAACACAGAGAAATCCATAAAAGAATTTTGAAAGAAAATACAAGAACAAAATGATAAAATAAATGAAAAACTGGAAATGATACAAAATCTACAGACAGAAATCTGGAAGATTAATACTAAATTGTCAGAAATAGATAACACATTGAAAGGGCAAAGGAGTAGAATTGATGCAATGGAAGACAGAATTAATGAGATTGAAGACATATACATGAATACTTCTTTGGAAAGGGGTCAATGAGAAAAAAGATCAAAACAAAATGAAGAAAGCCTAAGTATAATGTGGGATACCATCAAATGGAATAAGCTACATGTCATTGGAATTCCAGAACAGGAAAAGAAAAATAAAACCACTGAGAAAATTGTCCAAGATTTCTTGGAAGAGAACTTCCCTGATATGATGAAAGATAAGAATATATACATCCAGGAAGTCCAACAAATCCCAAACAGGATAGATCCCAAAAGAAAATTACCAAGACATATATATCATCATCAAACTCATAAAAACCAAAGACAAAGACAGAATCCTGAAAGCAGCACAGGAAAAACAAAAATTTACTTATAAAGGACAACCAGTAAGAATAAGCTCTGATTTTTCAGCAGAAACCATGCAAGCAAGAAGGCAATGGGGTGGTAAATGGGATGAAAGGAAAAATTTTCAACCAAGAATTAACTACCCGGCAAAACTGTCCTTCAATAATGATGGTGAAATTAGGAGATTTCCAGAGAAGCAGAAACTAAGGGAATTTGTTAAAACCACACCAACCTTACAAGACATGCTAAAGGGAGTCATTTGAACAGAGAACCAAAAATAACAAAAACAACCGACCAATAATATACAACATGACATAACCCAGAATCCACCGCTATGGACATATCCAAAGTAAAATGAGCTTACAAGTTTGTAAACAGGGAACCAGAGACTTCAACTGGCAAATGAGGACAACTACAAACAAAAAAGAGGGAAATTACTGTGTAGTTACAAACTTCTAAATGGTGAGGAAGTCAAGAAAGTTGCAAGATAGAATGGACTATTCCAAACTCAGGGAGAAAATTATAAATCACAGGGTAACCTCAAAGAAAAATGTTAAACCCTCACATCATAATAAAAAAGAGGACAAACACAAGTATTCAGCAAATACTAAAACAACAGCAACAAGGAAATGATAACACTATTCATAAATATAATGAGCTCAGCACAGAAAATAATATGGAATAAAGAAACCAAGGACATCATGAAATTACACGTAACAATATGACAGCAATCAGTTCATACTTGTCAATAATTACACTGAATGTTAATGGATTAAACACACCACTCAAGAGACAAAGAGAACTCAAAGAGTTGCAGACTGGATAAGAAAACAAAACCCATCAATA